GCAGACCGAGGCCTCGCAGCTCATCAGTCAGATCGTGAGTCGTATTGACCTTTTATCTTTCAATAGGATCCCAATTAGCACTAGCGTCTGCCTCTGCTATTCTACCTGGGGTCCACACACACTTACAGTCAAACACACATTTACACATGACAGCCACATTTTAATTTCAGCCGTATCGACCCTGCATCTGGATGTGTGTTTTAGTATTAAAGAGTCACACTCAGATCGTGGTGTAAACAGCATTAAGCTCTGTTAGAGAAATCTCACTGGTCACCGGCTTGAGCTTGATCCATGTATTCATGATCCTCTCCAGAATGGAAGTAGTCATCACATACAGAGCATCAACTAGTTCCTGAACAGTGTCCTTCACATGCTGATATCCAAGAGAGGGAGTTACACAGTCACAAGATGGAGGAATAGAAAGCAGTATTCAATGTTTACTTCAGATTAGCTCCACGTCAGAAATGATCATGCTTGTCACATGTCTATCTCCATAGAGGCTGAATCATCATGTTAATCACATAGCTATCATATGCCTCAAACAGTCCTGATGCTCTTCTAGGTAATCATACATCCTGTCATGTACACAGCTACAGTTGGGATACCTTTGTTATCATGTAACTCTGATATTGGAAGAGGACATTCAGTGTTTTCCCAACAAGCTCCCATGTATTTGCTGATTTTCCTGTTGATTTTCCAACCTGCTCTGACCGTCTCCAGGTCCACGGGGAGGGTCGAGAGAACCCCTTCAGGAGGAGGAGTTCCTCTCGGCTGCTGGACCCAAAGGTCCTGGTTCTGGTGCAGCGAGTCCCCGGGGTCGGCGGGGTCAAAGCTCTGGCGCTGCTGCAGGAGTTCTCCAGCGTCCACCAGCTCTGCAACGCCGCCCCCCACGAGCTGGAGCCCATCGTGGGTCAGGCTGCAGCTAAGCAAATCCACAGCTTCTTCCACAAACCCACTGCTGCTGGAACCTGAGCTCTCTGAGTCTGGGGTCTGATTCTCTGGTGTTTTGCTTAGTAAGGACATATGAAGCTCATTTTCAGGAGTATATAAGTATTTAGTGTCTCTGCTGTGACGTGTTTCTAGGCTTTAATGTTCAAAAAGGTCTTATTTCATGTTAAACCCCAATATAATTCAACATGAACCCTCCTTTATTGTAAGATCACACAATAAATAATATAATTAAACTGCTACCCTGCTGCTAATTTTGCTTCTTCCACAAACCCACTGCTGCTGGTAAGTAAGGACATATTATGTTCAGGTATATATCAGTATGTAGTGTCTCTACTTTAAAGAGTCCTCTCCTGCTGATGTTCAGGTGTATATCAGTATGTAGTGTCTCTACTTTAAAGAGTCCTCTCCTGCTGATGTTCAGGTGTATATCAGTATGTAGTGTTTCTACTTTAAAGAGTCCTCTCCTGCTGATGTTCAGGTGTCTATCAGTATGTAGTGTCTCTATTTAAAGAGTCCTCTCCTGCTGATGTTCAGGTGTCTATCAGTATGTAGTGTTTCTACTTTAAAGAGTCCTCTCCTGCTGATGTTCAGGTGTATATCAGTATGTAGTGTCTCTATTTAAAGAGTCCTCTCCTGCTGATGTTCAGGTGTATATCAGTATGTAGTGTTTCTACTTTAAAGAGTCCTCTCCTGCTGATGTTCAGGTGTATATCAGTATGTAGTGTCTCTACTTTAAAGAGTCCTCTCCTGCTGATGTTCAGGTGTATATCAGTATGTAGTGTCTCTACTTTAAAGAGTCCTCTCTTGCTGATGTTCAGGTGTATATCAGTATGTAGTGTCTCTACTTTAAAGAGTCCTCTCCTGCTGATGTTCAGGTGTATATCAGTATGTAGTGTTTCTACTTTAAAGAGTCCTCTCCTGCTGATGTTCAGGTGTCTATCAGTATGTAGTGTCTCTACTTTAAAGAGTCCTCTCCTGCTGATGTTCAGGTGTCTATCAGTATGTAGTGTCTCTACTTTAAAGAGTCCTCTCCTGCTGATGTTCAGGTGTCTATCAGTATGTAGTGTCTCTACTTTAAAGAGTCCTCTCCTGCTGATGTTCAGGTGTATATCAGTATGTATTGTCTCTACTTTAAAGAGTCCTCTCCTGCTGATGTTCAGGTGTATATCAGTATGTAGTGTCTCTACTTTAAAGAGTCCTCTCCTGCTGATGTTCAGGTGTATATCAGTATGTAATGTCTCTACTTTAAAGAGTCCTCTCCTGCTGATGTTCAGGTGTATATCAGTATGTAGTGTCTCTACTTTAAAGAGTCCTCTCCTGCTGATGTTCAGGTGTATATCAGTATGTAGTATCTCTACTTTAAAGAGTCCTCTCCTGCTCATGTTCAGGTGTATATCAGTATTTAGTGCCTCTACTTTAAAGAGTCCTCTCCTGCTGATGTTCAGGTGTATATCAGTATGTAGTGTCTCTACTTTAAAGAGTCCTTTCCTGCTGATGTTCAGGTGTATATCAGTATGTAGTGTCTCTACTTTAAAGAGTCCTCTCCTGCTGATGTTCAGGTGTATATCAGTATGTAGTGTCTCTACTTTAAAGAGTCCTCTCCTGCTGATGTTCAGGTGTATATCAGTATGTATTGTCTCTACTTTAAAGAGTCCTCTCCTGCTGATGTTCAGGTGTATATCAGTATGTAGTGTCTCTACTTTAAAGAGTCCTCTCCTGCTGATGTTCAGGTGTATATCAGTATGTAGTGTCTCTACTTTAAAGAGTCCTCTCTTGCTGATGTTCAGGTGTATATCAGTATGTAGTGTCTCTACTTTAAAGAGTCCTCTCCTGCTGATGTTCAGGTGTATATCAGTATGTAGTGTCTCTACTTTAAAGAGTCCTCTCCTGCTGATGTTCAGGTGTATATCAGTATGTAGTGTCTCTACTTTAAAGAGTCCTCTCCTGCTGATGTTCAGGTGTATATCAGTATGTAGTGTCTCTACTTTAAAGAGTCCTCTCCTGCTGATGTTCAGGTGTATATCAGTATGTAGTGTCTCTACTTTAAAGAGTCCTCTCCTGCTGATGTTCAGGTGTATATCAGTATGTAGTGTCTCTACTTTAAAGAGTCCTCTCCTGCTGATGTTCAGGTGTATATCAGTATGTAGTGTCTCTACTTTAAAGAGTCCTCTCCTGCCGATGTTCAGGTGTATATCAGTATGTAGTGTCTCTACTTTAAAGAGTCCTCTCCTGCCGATGTTCAGGTGTATATCAGTATGTAGTGTCTCTACTTTAAAGAGTCCTCTCCTGCCGATGTTCAGGTGTATATCAGTATGTAGTGTCTCTACTTTAAAGAGTCCTCTCCTGCTGATGTTCAGGTGTATATCAGTATGTAGTGTCTCTACTTTAAAGAGTCCTCTCCTGCTGATGTTCAGGTGTATATCAGTATGTAGTGTCTCTACTTTAAAGAGTCCTCTCCTGCTGATGTTCAGGTGTATATCAGTATGTAGTGTCTCTACTTTAAAGAGTCCTCTCCTGCTCATGTTCAGGTGTATATCAGTATGTAGTGTCTCTAGTACTTTAAAGAGTCCTCCAGAGCTCCAGCAGTTTATCGTACTTCACACACATCCTGCTTTCCAGGTTCTCCAGAGGGTCGATCAGCTGATGTTTCTTCAGGCCTGGCCTTGTCAGGTGAGGCTCCAGGTGAGTCTCACAGTAGGACTCCAGACACACCAGGCAGGACTTCAGGGCCTTCAGTCTGGTTCCAGTGCAGGCGTCACAGGGAACTTCTCCTGGTTTGACAACGTGTTGCTCTGAGCTGCTGCTGGCTTTCTGTTGAGCTGACTGTCTGAACTGAGCAGCCATCTCAGAGATGAAAGTGTTGACCTGCAGTTCAGGCTTTATGTTGAACACCTCTTTGCAGTTGGGACACTGACTCGGGACATTTCTATCCCAGTGTTCAGAGATGCAGGCTTTACAGAAGTTGTGTCCACATGGTGTGCTGACTGGATCAGTGAACACATCCAGACAGATGGAGCACAGAAACTGATCTTCAGTCCACAGACTGCTGGCAGCAGACATGTCTACACTCTGAGGACAAAAAACATATATTTTTCATAATTTGTTTATTTGGAATCAAACTGAGTTTTCCTGAATTCTATACAAATAGTAATTAAGAATCTGAGTGAAAGTGAATTAGAGCCCAGATGTGCAGAGAAAGTAAGAGATACCATAGAGATCTTTTTCTCAACACTAATAAATTAATCAAATAAGATAATAAATTGTTTAGACTAAATCTAATTATTAATAAATAACAAAGATTAACTTACAAACATTAATTTGAGCCAAGTAGAATATATAGTTAAAAAACACACAGGACCATGACAGGGAGAGTAGAAAGGTGCATGTATTCAGGTACTGTACTTGTGTACTGAGATATTTCTACTTTTCCATTCATATAATTTTTTTATACTTCTCCACAAAAAAAATCAGCAGGACCTAATGCACTTTTAACTCCAATAAATGAATTGTTCACAGGTAATTTGTTACTGCAGATATTACAAAATAAATTATATCAACTACATTGTGATTTAATCAAATTGCTTCAATAATTATAATCCAATAATATATTTGACTTTTAAAAAGGACATTATTCTTATTTATTTATTTTGTACTTTTTCTTGTAAATGTCCATATTGTGGTATTAATACTATTACTTCAATTAATGATAGAGTACTTCCTACCTAACTTTGACCAAATGTAGTTTATCATTTCTCAGTTTGGTGTGCATCTCTTTTGTTGGGGCCAACAAACCGGTTGTAACGATGCATGGTAACCAGCATTTAAATGTATTTCCCTATAAAAACACGAGGGTGAACGAGTCCGACTGGTCTGCAGTGTGAGCTTGTTGATTCACAGATAAAAACAGCCTTCAGTTTTAAAGTACATCTGAAAGCTTTTCATTTAGTTTAGCAAGAGCCAACGAGCTCTCGGTTTCCTGTCAACGCCACCATTTCAGAACATTTCCAAAGATTTGACTGAGTTTTTTAATAGTATAAAGTTTAATAGAGATATTTTAAGACTGAACAAGAGTAGTTTGATCATTCATCATTAAGGCTGTCTTACTGATCCCTGCCTGCTGAAAGTCACTTTTAAAATTAACGTTTGTATTCCAGCTGCTTGTTGGTTATTAAACTAATAGTAACAACGCATTTAGGCTAAACTTAACTTAATCATATGCCTTTTTGCAGTAATATCATCTGGAGCTTGATGGTTCTTGTTAACATCACAATTGTGTACATGTGTAAGATCCTAAATAAATTCAATAGAAAACCATTAAAAACACAATGTGTCCATCTCCATTACTGTCACATCATACATTTATTCATATAATAAAACTGCTACCATGCTGCTTATTTTGTTATTAGAGTCAAATTATATTTAAAGAAGGCTAAATACGGCTTAAGGCCCGGACACACCAAGTCGATTTCGGCCGTCGATGAGCGTCCTGTCGCCCTACTCAGATTGGTGTCCCCCGCACCGCCGTGTCTTTTCGGCCGTGCCGACACCGATCGGCAGCGGAGGCTGTCGGCAAAATAAATCACTCTGATTGGCTGTTCAGATTGCTGTGGTAGCAGCAGTACTTTAAGGTTGCCAGCCACAATGCTTAAATAGTGTCTTTCTGCTTCAGAGAGCTGAAGTGGAGGAGCTGATTTAAATTACATTATATACTGCTGGGTAGCTTGTGAAATTCACCATGGGATCAATAACATTTGATCTTAACCTATAATAATACATGATAAACTATTTCTTGATTATATTTTGTGGTATTCTGAATCTTCAAAGTTACTAAAGTTATCAAATAAATGTAGCGCAGTATAAAGTACACTATTTGCCTGAATGGGAGTGGAGCAGTACAGTACTTAAAGGGGACCTATCATGCTATATTTAAATGATATATTGTAGGGCCAAGGTATATTTATAAGTTTCTGTTTTCAAAATACCAAACAGAACATGCATTTTAGCCATGCCTCATTTCGCTCTATGTGCTGTTTGCTGTCTACGGGTCTGATTCTGCTGACCACGCCCCCCTGCAGGACAGGGGAGAGGTGCTCTGATCAGCTGCTGGGCTGTCAGAAGAGGGGGAGAAAGAGAGATCTCCATCCTCCATGTTTTATTATATAGAGTCGTTATTCATTTGTTTTAAAGCTCAATAAATAACAAAGAAGACCTTTGACCGGCACTTTTCTAATTTTGTCCGGAAGATTTAAACTTTAACGGACATCTTGACCGGCGAAACAAACTGAAACTGAAACTCTGCCGCACGGTCCCCTCGTTCCTTGGAAGAGGCGGAGAGGTGGGTGTTTGTCATCTGCTGGTGGACTAACCGGAGAGAATTACAGTGCTTGCCTCGACGGGGAGGGATTGCATTGAATTAAAGCAGCGGGAGCAAACGCTTGCCTCGGGGAGGGAGAAAGAAAGCCACAGCGGAGAATAAACAGAAGGGTAACCATGGTAACCAAGTCTTCTTCGCTGCTTTTGTGGCAGACTACAGCGCCACTTACAGGCCTGGCATATGTACTACAGCGTCTCCAGCACTTTCGAACGGCAATGGCCGTGGCTGTCTCCTCCTGATTGGTGGAGTTGGCCCAATAGCCGTAGCGCCACCGTCCTGACGTCAGGGCAGTGTTCAAATCTGGATCAGTTTTTATCAGATCCGTTGCAGCCCCTTTTTTAGAGATTTGGGTATGGAGGAAAATAGAGAGGGTTGTGTTTTCTGACACTTGGTGAGTTCCCTGGAATACCGGGGTATAAAAGACGTACAAAAGTGCATTTTGCATGATAGGTCCCCTTTAAGTAAATGTACTTTCTTACTGTTGTTAAACGTTACAGTTTTTACTCAGTCCGGGCATAAAAGGTGTGTCCTCACACACCACCTCGAGGTACCGACAAACTCCCTTCTTTCTATACTACCTCCATTCATCAATTTTACACCATTTAACTTTCCCCTGTTAGTTTCTCCCTTTAGACTTTGATCACAGACCTTAATGAACACACCTCTGAAACCTTGGGATTCAATACCCGTAAAGCACTGCTGCCGTATTTCAGATCAATCGATCACGGCGACCTCCAATATGACACCGAATTCAGCAACAGAGTTACCTAGGTGCGACTTACCCGCTGTTCTCTCTGGGAGACTGCAGACTCCGTCAGGGATCGATCCTCAGCCAAGGAGACAGGACGCTGGAATCAGTCTGGACTCACGACTCAAGCTATGTGGGAACAGGTTACATTTCCGTCTCATTTGTCACTTATCCAGCAATAATCAGAAGGGCTACGTGAACTTTAGTTTCCTCTCACAAATGTGAACAGGTAGTTTTATTAAAGTTTCACAAGTTATAACACCACACATCAATAACAAATGAAATGTGTTTTGCTCAGATACATATTATATCTGAGATTTAGCATTCTTCAGTCTTCTTTTATCCTCTTCTTTCCCGCGGCTTGTCACATGGTTTGTGCGTGCAAGCTGGTGCGTTAGAGGTGTCCTTCTTCATTGCTGTGGTTAAATGTTCACTTCCCGCAAGGAAATACATAACAGATGTTCTCCTCGAAAGGGGAAGTGCGTAGAAAGTTCATCTCCTCGAAAGAGTAAGTGCGTACTACAGGTCTTTATGAGTACCTATGTTTTTAAGGATTGTTGTTATACATCCTGTTTATATTGCTAAAGCGTTAAACTATACGATACATGACTATGGCATTCAGAGTTTTAACACAGTTTTTAGCATATTTAAGCTTTATATGATAAAATACATTGTTCCATTTTCTTCCTTTCTTCAACACTGTCTACCGCTGTTCATTGTTCAAGATTGAAATGTAAATTTGCAAGACGGTTTCTGCCCCTCTATTGACATGTAGCCTTTCATACGTGAGGTTGGCTTCATTCTCCCATTGTCCTCCACAATCTGCCTAGAAGTATTTGACTGTTGTAGCTGTTCAAGATAGTCATTTTAAAATGTTTTAAAAATATTAAACCAATAATAATGCTAGGGCTGCAACTGACAGTTATAGGCACATTTTGATTTGTTCTTAACGCTGTGTGATTAAAAGAATAAACACAAATAGCAGGATAGGCACATATTTGCTATATCTTGCCCCACTGAAAAGGCACTGCACTGATACTGTTAAAATATTGGCATAGTTCATCCCTGTGCTGCTTGGCTCAAGCTGTAGCATTGGTGGTGTGTGGCAGGTTAGCCAAGTAAACACTTACATATCACATTAAAGAAAAACAGCATGGCAGACTGTTCAAGTAAAGTTCCGTCATTTCTTTGTCTGCAAACATTTAGCATTAAAGGTGGGGTAGGTAAGTTTGAGAAACCGGCTTGAGATACACTTTTTCTTATATTCCATGGAATGCTCTTAACATCCCGATAGCAATGAATATCTGAAGTGCTTTGACAAAAAATCCATAAAAAAAGTCATCAGTGGAAGCCGTAGTACTGTAAAAAGCACGACCAATCGTCTGAGCCGGCCCGGCTAAAATAACTGGATGGCCTACCTGCCTGTCAGCCTTCCATCTGTGCACAAACTTATCTCGTGCCCTCATTGGTCATGTGCGCGTTCGTGTGTGTTGGAGGAGGGGCTCTGTAAGGAAGTGGCAGATTTTTTCCGGTTGTGTATTTTCAAATTCTAGCGATCTCGAGCCGGTTTCCCAAACTTACCTACCCTACCTTTAAGCAGTCCTTGCGTTACCTGAGGATAATTTATGTAAAAGCAGCCATACAGGAGTAAGAGTTCTGGTAATATGGCCGACACAGCATCATCGCCCTCACCGCTGTGCAGTACAGATTACCCATAAATCCTCTGGACTTGCCGTACACTGCAGGGTCTGTAGCTGCCTGCCACAGTGACCGAATGTCTGTGGCGTGACCGTGCGATGTGATCATGTGGTCATAGATACAGGGGTGATAGAGAGCCTTGCCCTCACCTGAAAAGTACAAATGCTCCTGGGGAGAGACCCCCATGGCTTTGGCACAAATCCCCATGAAGACGTCATCAATGTAAATGGAGGAGTTCAGCACCTGAGTGGCCTGGTAGATCTTAGCGGCCACATCTCCTGAAACCACGTACCCCGCTCCAGCCGTGTAGTCCGGGTAGGAAGGCCAGGGGTACAGATCATAGGGGATGTGGTATTTGCTTTCTTTGCGGCGAACTGGAGGGGCTCCTCTATGTACATGCCCCACCCAAAAGTCTTTGACCCCTGATTTATTACTCAGAAGCTGCCTTAGGTACTTCACCAAATTGGGCATGTGGACGAAGATGTCGTCATCTGCAGACATGAGGAAGCGTGCCTGAGGGCAGTAGTCATGGGCCCAGTGGAACTGCGTGATCAGTTTGGCTGTGAGGTTGTGGAAGGTATCCAAAAAGTCCTGCTGGATCAGGTCTCCGTAGGTCTGGTCCTCCTGTAGCAGTGCTCTCTGCACCCTGGATCTCCGCTTTGCGTCCACACCGAGGGCGAACACCATCCGCACGGTGGCTCCCAGTTCGGACCAAACAAAGCTCTCGTTCCCCCACGTGTCCCTGATGGCCTGGCGCCGCTCAAAGTTCTCTGGCGATGATTTCACAAACAGAAGAAGGAGGACGTCATCCACGCTTTTCCCATCTCTCCTTGCACATTTCCCTGGACGGTTGATGAGGTACGGGTAGGTCATCAACACGTTAGTAGAACCATCCTTTCTGTGACGGTTGGAGGTGATGTTGAAGTTAGAGTTGAGGAAGTCGTAGCTGTTGACCAGGTAGCGGTACGTGTAGGATTTCATGTGGCTGACCACATGGTGGTCCAGCTCCTCCCAGCTGACCATCACCACACACAGCACCATGCATGCGGTCAGCAGCTGCACGAACTGGCACTTGTGAATACGACGGAAGTTCATGAACATCGCGAATACTGTTTTTTGCTGATCTTCAAAACCTGAGATCACCTATTCTCTGGATACTTCTAGACATTTACTCTCGTGGACGGTATCTTCTTCTGGCTTTTCTTTAATGGTAGTATTTAATTTAATTTCTGCCTGCCTCTCTACTACTCATTCCATCTATCAAACTGTTTGCCTTAGTTTAGCCTTCACTTCATCTTCTCTAGTCTGTCTCGCCTTAATCTCCTCTTTCATTCTTCTGTCCTACCTGGCAACTCTTCTTTTTTAATGATGTAAAGTCCAGTAGACCTTTGTCAGGCTCCTCATGAGTCTGGGTTCCTCTGTTACTGATCTTCCTCAACTGTGAGATGCAAAAGCTCCGCTCCTTCATGATAATCTGGCTGCAAGCATCTCCAGGTAAAGCTTGGCAACATGCTCTGTCCTTATTTTTTCCTGAGAACTCTTCTCCACTTATCCCTCAGGCTCACATCAGTAAGTCATAGGAACAAATGGTGCGGAGGATATGGAGAGCAGACTGACGGGTGTCACGGTTTTGAGATCTGTGCAGGACTTCCCATGATCACTGTGAGTTGTCCCTGTTCCATGTCACCATTAACGGTGCGTCTTTGGATTTGTTGGCTATTCGCTATTTGTTGTTTGTATATATCACGCAGTCTGTCTTCCGGTTGCCTCTTTTGAATGACGAATACACACTTCCGCCGCCTGCTGGTAAGGAGAGTTATTGCCACTCACGCATGCGCAGTGCGTACGTGCTACGTGGCCGTCGGCTGAAGTCTTTGCGGTGTGTTCCAGTGCGACACATGGCCAAGACGCAGGAGACGTGAGGCGACACAACAGTCGGGTCCGTCGGGACGTGTTCTTTGGTGTCAGTTTGGTGTGTCAGGGCCTTTAGTTGAATGCTGGATTCTGATTGGTCAAATGGGACATTTCAGAGGTCAATATGACAGTAGTACAGACCGATGTTAAGCACTATAAAGACTAAAGAGGATCAAGAGAGAGAAAAAGGTTAAAAGACGGAGCGTCCACATGGTGTGCTGACTGGATCAGTGAACACATCCAGACAGATGGAGCACAGAAACTGATCAGCAGACAGCTGGCAGCAGACATGTCTACACTGAGGACAAAACGTGTGAAGAAACACAACTTAATTACATATTGTCTATTTGTCTATACGCGAGCTGCGTACATGATTTCGTTCGGCAGCCAAATACCGCGAAATAATATAAATAATCTGTGACACGTTTGTGTGTATTGTGTTTGTTTCCCGGGGAAACACTCAAGAAACACCGGCTGTTGTTATGCCTGCTGTGAATTTAAGTTACCGCTTGTAATTATGCCTTTACAAGCTTCAAAGTTAGTTTATTTGAAATCAGATGAAAACAAACTGTCACGGACCCTGCCGTGTTATCTATGATTACTATACGCTTTTCATTCATAAATTCAGCGGGAGCAGCGCTGAGGAACAGCAGAGTGCCTGTGTTGACATTCCCTTATTGTGCGTCAGCAGAGACAGGCTTCAAGTGTCTTAGGTTCAAGTTAGACAACTAATGTCTGGGTTAGGGTTCATCATGACTTCATGTTTATGTCATCCTAATGGTTCATCTCAATGGTTCTAAATGTACCTTATATATTTTTCAAGTTTGTAATACTCTTATCAACATATGAGTGGAAAAAATATAGCGAAGAGAGCGAGGAGAGCGCAGAGAGAGAGACAGCGAGCGAGAGGGCAAGAGAAGGAGAGAGCAGAGAGAGAGAGAGAAGAGAGAGCGAGGAGAGAGAACGAGGAGAGAGAGAGAGAGAGAGAGAGAGAGAGAGAGCGCAAGAGAGAGCCAAAGAGAAGAGAGAGAGGAGAGGAGAGACTAGAAGAGAAAGAGAGAGAGAGAGAGAAAGGGAGGAGAGAGAGCGGAGAGAGGAGAGAGAGGAGAGCGAGAGAGAGAGCGAGAAGAAGGAGAGAGAGGGGGATAGAGAGGGAGAGAGAGAGAGGAGCGAGAGCAGGAGAAGAGAGAGATGAGAGCAGGAGAGAGAAGAAGAGAGACGAGAGAGAGAAGAGAGAGAGATGAGAGGAAGAGAGAGAGAGAGGTAGAGAGAGAGAGACGGAAGAGACTAGAGACGAGAGAGAGAGATATAGCTCTCTCTCTCCTCTCTAGCTCTCTAGCTCTCTCTCTCTCTCTCTCTCTCTCTCTCTCTCTCTCTCTCTCTCTCTCTCTCTCTCTCTCTCTCTCTCTCTCTCTCTCTCTCTCTCTCTCTCTCTCTCTCAAAACTGAAGTTCCCACCTAGGGTCAAAATAATGCGCTTTGATGTGCAGTCGACACGTTGGATGCGATCCGAATTATCTAACGCAGCCCCTCGTCCTCCACAATGTTAAGCTGTAGCCACCCATTTAGCTGTCTCCCCGGCAAGCTTTCAAGCGTGGTCTGCCGCAAGCGAGCGGCCGGAGCGGGGCTGTCAGCATCAGCTGTTTGCTTGGCTTGCTGTTTAAAACACCTTTTCTTGTATCCATATCTCTCGCGAGAATCTGCCACCATACAACTAACACCAACAACGTCGTCAAGCCTTTAGGCTCTGAAACTACGGGGTGGGCCGAGGACAAATACACATACGTTAACTGCACGTTCAAATAATTAGTGGCGTTAAAAAAAAATTGCGTTAACGCGTTATTAACAGCCCTACATACAATACATGGAATGTGTGTGTGTTCCAAGTGAATCTGCGGCCCCCTGGTGGCCACTACATACATTATGTGGCCCCCATCACCATCCAAGTTGCCCATCCCTGGTGTAGACCAAACAAGCTCTATTCATAAGCTCTATTCATTTTGGGGGATTTTGCCATATTTGAACAGAGGAGTGAGACCTCCTTGCTGAGCATCACTGAAGTTAATACTAGTTGTTAAAACACAGTAAACGTTATCAGCTGTATAAAGGCCGTTTAAAGTTTACATTGTATTTTTGGCTGTTGCTATTAACCTAACTGACACATTGCTATAGTATAATATTATTTATATGCTGAAATGGATATAATACAGTCAGATTCTGATTTTAATCTAACTTTGACTAAATATTTAGTAAGTGATGTGTCTTAGTGTACTCACCAGTGTTTGCAGAGGTTCTGCTGTGTTGTTGAGAAGAAGCTGCTGGATTCAGTTGTTTCTTCTGTGAAGTTGTTGAAGCTCTCCTGTTTCAGTGCTCCTCCTCTCAGTGTAGCTCTGTGAGTGAGGGTGTGTCACTCTCTGGGGAGGACATTAACACAGCTTTGTAACAAGAGGAGGTTTACTTTGAGTCTATTCTTCTTCTTTGCTTGAAGTAAACAGCAACCAGACAAAAACAATTACAAACAGACATGAGAAAAGAGGTCAGAGAAAGATAATAAGGAGCATTCTGTGTGTTTTGATAAATGGGCTACAGCGCTCCCTTTACAGTCCCTCTACATTCCCACAGACCCTCTAATAACCAGCTCACTGTTTCTCCTACATGTAATGTCACATTTCTACTGCTTTCCCAACTTTAATCCTATTTCTTCCTGATAAAAATGTATAAGAGCAAAGATGGAAACCCTTTTTCTCCGGGCCACATTCAGGCTGCTCTTTGATTTTGAGTTTTCACAATTATGAAAGTAAAATTCTTCTTTCAAATAACTTGTTTTAAGCACATTAGTCAGATAGAGTATCCCTTAATCACTTTTCACGACTGGAAAATCCAATGTTTGTTTAATCAAAATAATTAATGAATGTCTAAGCAGGATTTGTAATGTCTTAAAGGGGACCTATTATGCTAAATCCCCTTCTTCACGTCTCTTCTACATCAACATGTGTCCCCTCTTCTTCATGTCTCTTCTACATCAACATGTGTCCCCTCTGTGGAAAGAGCATTTTAGCCCGGCGCGCTGTGAGGGGCGGGGCTCACACAGAGCCAGGCACGCTGTGAGGGGCGGGGCTCACACACAGCCAGGCACGCTGTGAGGGGCGGGGCTCACACAGAGCCAGGCACGCTGTGAGGGGCGGGGCTCACACAGAGCCAGGCGCGCTGTGAGGGGCGGGGCTCACACACAGCCAGGCGCGCTGTGAGGGGCGGGGCTCACACAGAGCCAGGCACGCTGTGAGGGGCGGGGCTCACACAGAGCCAGGCACGCTGTGAGGGGCGGGGCTCACACACAGCCAGGCACGCTGTGAGGGGCGGGGCTCACACACAGCCAGGTCAGGACACTCCGCGTGCAGCAGTGTTGCAGCCAAATGAATCATATAGAGACAAGCAGGAGACAATGTGTGACTTACTCACGGGGAATTTGAAGTTAAATGGAATTGGTTGCAAAACCTAATTCCACATCTGCGGTGTGGGAATATTTTGGATGTAAGCCAAATCAACGAGGCGAACCTACAGACTTGAATGAGCCGGTATGTCGCATTTGTTTTAAAAAGGTAGCAACAAAAGCTAGCAATACGACCAACCTTAAACTGAACCTGAAACACAACTACGGTTGGGAACCGAAACTCGGTTCCAGATGAGAACCGATAAGAAAATGCTGGGTACCGGGTACCCATACAAAATACACAATTTTGGTTCTGCTTAACGGTTCCTAAACGCGGTAGACCCTGTATTCCACCGGGTCCGTCTGTGCCGTGGTGACCCGGTAGAATACAGGGGCGGACTGGCCATCTGTGTGTTCTGGAGAATCACTGAACAGCTGGTCGTCAGCGGGCCGTTGACGGCACCGCCCTTAATTTTTTAAACGCCGTCATGTAAGTTGCGCTGACAGGCGACAGAGGTCCACAGGTGTCCCGCAGCGAGGCTCCCCCCGCCCTCCCGTAGACAGTTCACGAGCTCAGTCACTTCATAACACCAAAGATGGATCGCGGTAAACGCTCTAAAGTGGCTCCACTACACTAAAAAAGAAAAAGACAAGGCACAGTGTAATGCCTGTTAATAGCAGAATGAAACATGTAAGGGATAATGTGCAGCAAGGACTTATTGACCGTTGTTAAAGGACGCTCACATCTGCAGAAAGAAGTCCAGTCGATTTAACTATATACAGTTGGGCTGAAAAGCAAACTGCATGCCGTTTTCTTTTCTAACTGGGACAAGAAAACAGCGGAGAAGTAACGGAGCAGAAACCCTCCTTTTACGCAGCGGTCCAGACATAGACATCAAACGGCAAAACATATTCAGTTGCCAGTGACTTTGGCATTAGGGCAGGGATATCTAGATACTTTCCAAGGTTTGACATAATGAGTTGTGCTACTTTTAAAGCAAGCAACGATGTTTTCAAATCTGTAATCAAAAAGGTCCGCAAAAACGCTATCGACCAATCAGATTGCTTGATTTGACTTGTCCGTTTTATAAATATATTTACATTGCGTCCGTTAGGAAACAAACTTACAAAGCTTAAGATGGAAACATTTAAGGTTAACTTGGACCTCCGGGCTGGCCTTACTATGGAGGAGTGGATTGAGCAGTGCCTATCTCCAGAAAGCACCTAAACGACGACATGCAGAGCTACGTGAAGAGCAGGTAGACCAACTGGAAAAGTATCACCATTCAAAAGCTTTCTGATGCGGGTCTTGAAACAAAGCAGAGAGATTATGACCGTTAGTGGCCACAGGTGCGAAAGCTCTCTCCAGAGCTACTGGAAGCCGAATCTCGGGGACCGGAGAAAGTGGAGCAATATTCTCGCCACGCCAAGCAACAGCCTAGAACAACCTCAGCCTATACAAGTAACCACGTAAGCCA